ACTTTTGAAATCTACATGGTCTAAAGATGATTTCCTAAAAGTTTCATGCTTGTATCACAATTTGCACTATTTTCTCAATTTCCCGCCCCACTAATATTTATAGCGACAATGAATTATCTTGCGCAATTGTTTCGGGGTGGACGCTATTTAAAATGTTTAAATCTATTTCACTGCTCGGTTTGTGTAAATATTTGACCAGTTAACGTTTCCTGAAACATATATTTATATATCAAGTATAACATAAAATTGTATACTTTTTCAAAATGCAGTTAATAGAATATAGTTTTGCTTTATTTAAATAATCAATGAACAATTAAACTGTACCGATTTTTCGTTCTTTATTTTCAATCAATTCATGCAAAACATTACATAATCAAGTAAAACATTATAAAAAATACAGGGTGATGTATAGAAAAGTCATGTGAATAAATATCAATGGATAAGTACCAGGCCATTTAATTACCTTAAAGCAGCATGCCTTCAGATTCATGATGATTTTCATGAACATTTTAGAAATGTATTTAAAAGTAAATTGCGTGGTTTCGATTCCCGGGAGATGCTTTGGTAGTTTAGCGCGGAGGAAGGTAATCTAGTATTGGTGTAACTCTCCAGGAACGATGGTTAGGAAACTACCCGCCTATATGACTGAAATACTGTTGGGAAAAGGCGTAAAATGAAACAAACAAACTAACTAACTAACAAATAAAAGTAAATTACTGTGAATTGAACAAAGAAAGTAATTTACACATTGCAAACGGCACTTACAACCAACGTGAATTACCAATATGTGGTCAAAATATACATAAATACCTTTTTACTGCTGCGTTAGTAAGGCAGTATAATTATAGTGATTGAAACTGCAAAATCAGCTAATTATCGCCCATAACATGTAAAAAATTAATTTCATATTAAATCTTTTTACTTTTCTTAAGATCTTAATACATTTTTCTTAAGGTTTTATTTCTTGAAATATTTTGACTCATATTGATGCGTGCAGATTTAAAGTGTATAAAGCTATATATCTGTTGCAGAATAATCATTATTTGAATTAAAAAAATATATATATATTTAAGAAATTTGATAGAAAATTGTATGAAAAGCGAATGGTGCATGCACGATATCATTGGTACACGGACAAAACCCTACTTACAAATACCATTATAATATTTTGTTTTGGAACATTTAATTCTGTTATTTACAATATCCATGCGTGCTTAATTACAATTAATTTCTATATAATACCTTTTTCGAGAATCCACCGTATAATTATGGAACCAATATAATTCTATGGTTCATATATTTAAAAAAAAAACTTCATAAAAATTACCTGTACACCCTTTAAGTACATGATAATAGGAGAAAAAAAAATTTATTAACTGTCAAATGCTTATCATTTATTTGTGTACAGATGTTTTCAGTTTTAGATTTATTAAAAGCATAATGAAGTTCAACAAAGCAATATTTAAATTAGCACTAGACAGAAAAAATGTATGATTGTAAATTTTGAATCTCCATATTTCAGCGTTTACATGTAATGGATTTCAAAATTATCAAAATACTGAACTGTGTTAGTCATATAGTCAAATGAATTATTAGAACACCTTGTTTTTTTGCTATTAATACAAAAAAAACACGGAATAAATGTATTGTATCCCCTAATTGTTTGAAATTGTTGACAAGTTTGTAGCCGGGAAAAGGATGTCCTAATACTGATTTTTTTTTTCCAGAAAAGTAGTTAAGCTTCTTTCTTCACGACTTTCTAGTTAACGTTTATTAGAGCATGAAGTAAAATATATTAAAATGAATAAAAATGATTCAATGTGCTTTTTTTGAAAAAAAAACGAATTAAATTGAGGATATGTGTATGTTTTTTTTTGTGTGTGTAAGATGAATTTTTATACAACATTCTAAAACCAAACAAAAACATTTTCTTTTTATTTTATGCTTAAATACCGTTTAAAAATGAAATTTCCTCAGTATTAACTGGACTATCAAAATCTGTTTTCCCCACTGGTAACCCTCAATTTCAGAGGAATTTCTTATTTTAAATACATGAAGACTTAAGCTAAAAATAATAGGTTTCAAAAATCAACATTAAAAGATAATGTATACATCTTTTTTTATATAAGAATGATCGCTTGTTTTAATGATTTAAACAACCACTTCTAGAAGAAAAAGAAAAAGTTACAATATGACGAGCTTATTTCCGTTATTTCCGGTGCAATTTTATACAGTCAACTATCGTTATCTCGACATCGCTTTTCTCGATATTTCGTTATCTCGATGAAATTTTTAAAGTCCCATTTTTCTTCCTTCTTTATCTATATTGGAAATATTTGTTAATTTCGATATTTTTATTTCGATATTTTCAGTATCTCGATGATAAATTTCGAGATAACGATAGTCGACTGTATATGATCATGCTTGTACTGTAAAGGGCCGCTAACAAGCTGCCAATTCATGTATAACGATCGCATGTTTTGATCTTAGTGAATTTTAATGAATTGTAGTAATATGTCATCTAAAGGGTTTTGTAGCACTGTGGAAGAAAAACTATGAATATATATATACATGTAGCTAGTTGGTAAAATAGTATTTATTTTTTGTGTCTGGCCCAAGTTCAAATGTTCGTACAAATTGAGATCATATAGAGTTTTCAAAGTTATGAAATAGAAATGTATGGCTGTATAAGTAGTATTCCCGCTAAACACAGATTCGCGCTGGCTAAATTCAGAAGCGGTGTTGCGCCAATACCTTTAGAAACGGGGCGGTATGAAAATATGCCTGTTAATGTTACACTCTGTCCTATTTGTAAAAATGCAGTTGAAATGGAAACACATGTCCTATTGGAATGTTCTTCATATCAAACCATAAGAAGTAGTTTATATGAAGAAGCTGTTAAAATTAATCATGAGTTTCATAATTGGAATGATGATCAAAATTTGTATTTGTTCTATCTTACAACGATATTGTTTGAGAAAGTGCCAAAACCTGTTTCTTAATATTAAATATATGATCAAACCTTCTGTACACTTAGTTTTAAATAAAACTGTAGTAGACTGTAACTTGCAATAGTGCAGGTATATTTGCTTGGTTTTATTAACATGTTATTTTAAGTATAAATTTAAATTTTATCATTTTTGTTGTTTTAAATTCATTGACCCAGTTATATCTGATTATACCGATATACCCTAAAGTATTTATGTTCTTCATTAATCATACCCTTTCCATTCCCTTTCCTGCTAAGTCACGATCCTTAAATCATTTTTTTGGTCATGCACTGTACATTCTTGTTCTTACATGGACGTCCATTACAAATATTTACTGGGTCATATCCTGTTCAATAATGTTGTTACATGGTCACGTCCCTTACAAATAGGTACTTGGTCATTTCCTGTTCATTAATGTTCATACATGGGCATCTCCCTTATAAATATGTACTTGGTCATATCTTGTACATTCATGTTCTTACATGGTCACGTCCCTTACAAATATGTATTTGGTCATATCTTGTTCATTCGTGTTCTTATATGTCATCTCCCTTACAAGCATGCACTTGGTCATATCCAGTTCATTCATGTTCTTACATGGGCACGTCCCTTACAAATATGTACTTGGTCATTTCATGTTCATTAATGCTCTTACATGGTCACGTCCCTTACAAATATGTACTTGGTCATTTCATGTTCATTAATGCTCTTACATGGTCACGTCCCTTACAAATATGCACTTGGTCATTTCATGTTCATTCATGTTCTTACATGGCCATGTCCCTTGCTAAGATGAACTTGGCCATGTTTTTTTATCTTGTTCATCTCCCATATAAATATGTAATTAATCATGTCCTGTTTATTCATGTTCTCACTTATCACACTCTGTATTAATCATACACTTAATTACATCCTACATATCAATGTTCTCACTTGACCTTTTCCCAAACGTAACAACGGCAAATTCTGTCCCATACAGATATATAAATTATACTATGCTCAAGATGTAGATTAATAAGAGCATTTTTAATACTCCATTATGCAGTAATGATGTCACTTGTATTATGATATTTAAAAATACAAAATCTCTTATAACTCTGTAGAGAGTGGCAATGTGTTGTTTTTTTTTAAATTTACGTTTATATGTGCTTTTAATTTATGATATGTTGTATATACTTATTACATTGATAAGACTATAATATAGAATTAATAGAATTAAAAAGAAAATCGAAAAAAATCTATAAAATGGTGTATAGTTCAAAACCAAAATACGTTTGTTCCATTCGGTTATTTATGTCAAAAATGTCAAATGTACTAGAAATAAAAAAAAGATATCATCTGACAAAGTCATTTATTTACATGAATAGCAAATAAGCCTCATTATAAAATTTTATCACGAATAAAGTTAAAATAAAATTCAATTAAAAAACAAAAACAAGTTGAACTAAAATATTAAAAAATCTATTTAGTATAATGTTGTTCGTTATATTTACGCATAGACTTATGTAGCTCTGTGATATAGCAATAATAACAGATTTTATTATTATTATTATTTTTTTCTTTTTTTTTGTGGTAAAAAAAAGTTTTAAAAAGTTTCTAAAAAGTGAAAAACACCGGGAAAGAAAAAGATTTACTGAGGCCTCCTAAGTGATGATTTAATAAAAAAAAAACGAAACTAGATGTATATTTGACGAGTGGCGCAGCCAGTGGTGAAATATGAACTTTTTGTGTTTACGATGTAAAATATATTTCGATATTATAATAAACTAAACACATAGACTCTATGTATTGGTTTACAATTGTTTATCCTATATTTGTAAAATCATCATTTTTGACGTAACGTCATAAAGTTGGTTTCGAGTCGTGTACACGCTGGTATTTCACTGAAACAACGTAACGGGCTAAAATTCAAAACAGTGAAAGATACCAGTTTTATATTTCACCGATATATATCTATATCTATATCTATATTTCTATAAAAGCATTTCATAAATGTATTTAAATGCTTACCTTGACCGCCGACCAGATGACGTAATCCTACCAAAATAAGCACAAGTAGTAGTGAATTCATTTCTGAAAATAAATGTATTTTTGTTAAAGTGAGTTTAATGAATTATATTTTATTAACGGGAAAGGAATTGTATAATATATTAAGTTGCTTTCAATTTAAAATACGCAAATTGTATCTTAATATATAACAATATAAAACAATTTGTTCCTGTATTTTTCAGCCGTGTTCGAACATTATTATTATTATTATTATTATTATTATTATTATGAAATAAACAAACCATAACAATCTCAGTAGTCACTATCGTTTTTTCATAAAATGCCATCGTGCACTTTATATTTTATATTTAAACTTCATTTAATCTTTATTAAGTTTGTTTAACCTAAAATCGCTGTCCTCTTTTATTGTTTTAATAATAGAAAACTTTTGTCCAACAAATATCAAACGTTTTTTACGCGTCAATCAACAATATATGTCAGAAATCCATTTTCTATACGGATTTTAAAAACAACTTTTTTGTCTTGTGCAAACTTACCATTAAATGCATTTAACAGATTCCATAATACAGCAATCAAATTATGTAGAAACAAACTTAAAAGCACTCGGCTAAAACTTCAACAGCTACGGAAATGCCAAACTAATTCTACAAACACCGTCCTGAAATGAGTCTTTTTGTTATTCAGATCATAATTAGTACCTTGAATATTATATGTCTTGTTGACAACAAAGTGGCACTTAATTATTATTGACCATTGTTGTAGGTCTTAAAATTAAATTGGAATTTGTGGTTGATTAATCATATAAGCTGTAGGAATCTGCCATTAAATTGTCTACATGAATTCCGAAATGAAATATTCACGAGTTAACGGGCAATTCATTTCCTATAATAGATAATGAATCAATATAGGGTTAATGCATCTTTTGTGTGCAATAACATCTGCAGAAACACAAGGATACATTTAAAACGGGTGCCCACATGTACTAGTACTTTAGCGCTATTCTTGCATACAAATAAACATTCTGCGTTTCGTTCTAAAGCAGGTGTCGACATGCTTTCACGTGCTACCAGTGCTATTTAATTAATTTATTTATTTATTTATTTATTAATTTTATCGTTGATTTCGTCTGGCGCCCCGCGGAGCAAAATGCGAAAGCTCGAAATGACGCCGACAAAATGACCACTTTGTCGAACTTTCGCTCCAAAGGGCGCTAGGCGAAAAGAAGAAAGTAAGACAGAGTTGTTACTTTGTAATTTTTATTACGTATTTTCATGTTTGTTTTTAATGCCCAGCGGAGCAAAAATCCGACATGGCACAAATCAGCCACCATTGAATAGATAGGGGTCTATCGATACAACTGCAAGACTCATAACAATGGCACGGCCTTGCATGTTTATATCCGTTGATGCACGTTTTCTTGCGCAGTTTTTTTAATGCCAGAATACGTATTGGTGTATTTTATTTGGCCATAACATTGATACTTGTAAATATGAAATCTATATTTCCATAAATTAACACACAATAGTAATTTTAAACATTTTTACAATAATTGTAGCGGACACGTAAGTGGTAATAAATTTCAAATGAAAATAAAGACAGTTTGGTAAAAGTAGAATATTATTGACAACATACTGTACGAGCATCTCCTATTTATCTTCCTAAATTTATTCTAAAACCAAATATTTACGAGTTAATTGTCAATTAAAACTCAATTGACCTTGTAGGTTAAACGTGATGAAAAACAGGTTATAAAGCTCTATACGAGCATGTATCTGTGAAATCAATAGTGATTCCACGTGAATTTAATGCAACACTTTGAATATTATTAACATATTAACACTTTGAAAAACAGTATATAGGTTTAAGTATGTTTTTTTTAAAGAGCATGCTTACAATACTAAAAAAAACCAATACTAACAGGTTGTTTTCTATTTCTCCTAAGAAAAAGTGCTTATTTGAAACCGTGAACATATTTTTCTATTTTTATCAATATGAATCAAATTATATTTTTTTTATCCGTACATTACTTTCATACTTTCTTTCACCATTTTCATATATACTTGAGGATTGATCTAGGAGAAATTGATGTAAGTTTGCATTTAAAGCATGCCTCAAAATGAGCCAAAATATTTCAAGAAAAAATATTTTAAGAAATGTAAGATAGAAGATTAAAAAAACAAATGACATGCTATGTGCGATTAATGATGGAAGATTGACTGATTTTGCAGTATTTATCACCAAATTTTTACTGCGTGACTAAGGCAGTTAGAGCTATTTTTGCATGTTTTGACCATTTTTGGTACTTTATGTCGATTAAATGTGCCCAATACAAAGTGTTAATTACTTTCATAGCTCACTTTAAACATTTTACTTTAAAATATATCGTCTTTTTTTCATGAAAATTATTAAGAATCTGGAGGCACGCTGCTTTAAAACCAGCGTTTATGAACAACCTTATCTTACGAGCCTGAAACAGTTTAAGTTTTGGCGTGTTTGGCAATTGATTATAGGTTCCAATTTGTCTTAGGCATACCAGCTTTGCTACTCATTATGCTGGTGCCCCGCTATACTGGAGTCCCACTGGTATGACTTTATTTCTCATTTCATTGTCGTTTTATTTATAAATCAATAACAGAAAAATTATATACATAACTGATAATTACAATTTTAATAAAACAAACGTTACCAATATGAAGTACATCTTGGTTTACTTAGAAATAATAGAAAGAAAATCTACGTCACTCTGTATTAAACCTATAAACAATCAATGTCAACTATAATTACCGGTAGTTTGTAAATAACATTATTTTTATTTCTGTTTATCGATTTTCTAAAGAATGCAATCTCTTCTCTTCAAATGATCAAAAGCAATGTAAAATTCATGACGTACGCTACACGAGTAAGATTATCCTTCACTTACTTATTAAAGTAGTAGTCTTTTGGGACAATTATTAATTAAACCACCTGAATCCATCTTTAATAAATCATTATTTGTAACAAATTAATAGACATTCAACTATTTGCCTCGTTTCTATATAAAAACGATTTGATGTATTTTCTCGCGCATGCGCAATCTGCGAAGACAAAATATTAAAACAGTACACAGATGGTTTAATTTATGAAGACGTATTTACATCGCAGGTTAGAAAAGGTATCCAATCTTGCTACATACAATCACGTCTGGAGAAATGAGAGAAATATAAAGAAATATCTGTATACTGGCGTACCAATAGCTACCACAAAACGTTATGGCGTAAATGACTGCAAAAATGTCTTAGTGCAAGTACCTGCTCTTGCGCAATATTTCGAATTTCTGTCTTACGAGTTTGGCATTAATTTGAACAGGAATGTGTCCCCTTAGTTAATAAAAATCTAAAACAATTAAAAAACATACAGTATAGTTTATCCGATTTTAATTTTGCTTTTTGAGTTATTTTTAAGCCTATCCAAAATTGAAGAAAGTACCAAGGTAACCAATTCACCCAATATGATTTGTAGAAACAAACTTGTAAAATAATGGTATCATAAGGAAAAAGCCTGGTTATATAAATACCAAAAATAAATGGATATCAAGTCAATTCATATTCAGCGTCCACGGAATTATTGCATTGCAGTTGAAAGGCAGTATAAATAGAAACAATATAAACCTTTTGCATTTCTTTTATATAAAAAAAATCTATATTTCTGGTAAAGATGTATCATACATTTAATAGAAAAAGCATTGAAATACGAGGCTTTCTGATTTGTACCAGGGGCGTAGCCCCATAGTGTGTAACAGTTTCCAAGTGTTGTGGTGTTTTTTCTGTTTTGCCTCATGGGCAAAAGTAAAAACACTTCCCTGTTGTCACAATATAAAACCCCAGAAAAAAAGTAACCAATAAACGATCATCTGAATATGATATTTGTAGCGCTATCCCTTTCTTTGCCGTCATAATAAGTAAACCCCAGAATCAATGGTTATGCTCTCGAGTGTAGGTAAATAATACCTGCACTGAAGTTAACGCACTGTGCATGTGTATGTATACGATTTAACTCGAATTTATCACGAAAGGGTCCCAAAACTATGATACAAGGATACATTTTAAACAATTTGGTTTTAAAGATAAAAATGTATATAATATAGAAACAGACTTAAAATGCAACTTGCAAACCGCTAGCAATCATTGATTTGTTAAAATAACTTTATTTTTCAGCACGATTACTGTACCTTTCAAAATAATTAGCTCAGACACTTTACGCTGAATGTTATGTGTTTAATATAGTGGAGAGTTTACATCCAGTTTACTAGTTTTCTACCAACATTCTATTTTCAAAAATTCTTGGAATTATAATTCAGATTTATCTATTTCAATATGGCGCTTTACATTAATTCATATTATTTTAACATTGTCTAAGTATAAAAATGAAGTTGTAATTCATGCTAACCAATTTCATGTTTACCATACTTTAGATAGATCTAACATTACAAAACAAAACACACAAACAAAACAAACAAACTGTTTAAGTAGAACAATATATCGTTTAGCGGATATTTTTGTCATTATAGTCTAGTCAATAAACCCTAATTTGGGGGTCAACCTAGAACTAATTGCAAAAGTTTTAAAAGTTTGTTTTTCTGAAACTGCTATGTATGTTCATTTATTTATAAAAAGTCCCGACCTCTTGCTGTTGCAATTGCTGAGAAAATGATGCTTGGATTACATGGTACCTTGGATTTTATGAAACATATATAGAATCAGGAAGTCGGTTTTCATATCAATATTTATTTTGAATTTTAAAATTGTATTAAGTATATCATTACAAATTAAATAATAAATAACAAAATTATAGTGTCAATCAATAATAATGCAATTATCATATGATTACTAACTTTTTACTTAAACTGCAAAAAAATATTACCCCACCCACTAATGCATTTTACAAAATATCACAAATGTATTCCAGTAATATTTCCTGATAACATCATTAAAGTAAATAAGATTTTGACAGTCATTTCATCAAACAAAACAAAACAAAGGAACGTTTATAACACTCAAAAATGTAATTATAACTATGAGCCTCTGATGATGAGCGACTGCTGCCGTGCTGGCGCTATCATAGCAATGTCTGACATTTATTTACTCATGGTTACAGGTATTGTTGCAGAATATATTTTGTTTGGTTGGTTGGTTAAATGGCGCCAAAACACAAATTTGGCCATTGTGCGCCGAAATAGGAAAGATGATTTGGCTAACCTCGGGTGTTAAAACTTAAAACAACACCAGGTCACCTCACCTGCTTGAGCTTAGAGATGTGCATAGACTCCAGCAATTCGAACTAATTTAGTCGTCCCTTACAATACTAAGAGATAAACGGTGGCTGCATTTCTTTATTTATTATTTTATTTAAGTATGACAAACATTGTCAATTTGTACTTCCATAACGGTCATTTATTACAATGAACGGCATTTTAATTATTGCATTGACATGAATTTATTGTTATTTCAAAGCGGGTAACAAATTTAGAAATATTTTCAAATGCAGCAAAGGAAATATACCTGACAGATGAAAGTATTGTACATGCCTTATGATAAATGTCCTATTGAATAAACATGCATTTTCTGCTTTGTTCTATTGTTTCTGTCATTTTGTTTTAGAATGAAAATGGTAAAATTTATAATTCGGTCTTATACATTGCACAAGAAGAAAGCAAACAAAAGCCATGTGTTAG